ATTCCAGATTGTGTCACATCCAAAATAAATAAATATATCTGGTGCAAAAATAGCTCACCATATATACTCATGTGCTTTTCCATTTAGGCCACCTGGGTGTGATGCTCAGGTAGATGCTCAGCATTTGTGGCAGACACAGGATGTCTTTTCATATTTATCATATTTCAGACAGCACCCTGATGAGTAGCAGCCTCTACCAATCATGTGTGCAAACATGAGGCCCCCATAGATGATGTGCCTTCACAAAGTGAGAGGGAGTATTGCAGTGAAGTCAGAACCACAACCTAAACCAAAGCTAAGTTCACGTCAAGGTGAGGATACATAAATTAGGGTTTGGGCTGGTTTTCATTAGTGTGAAATACAATGGACACATAAGTGGAAGAAACATGTCAAAAAGTATAAAACAGCAGGACATGGATTGACAAGACACTTTAATGGAGGAAAATACAAATGAAAAGACAGAAACAATAACTAGAAGAGAGAACAGTGGATTTCTGTTGAAACCTGTTCAGAAGTCCAGAAGTCCTCCTGTTAAAGATTCAGTCCATACACATAATATCCTTACAATATTACTTCAAATCTATAGAGGCCATATGATCACTCTCAAGTTGTCAGTGATCCATCTTTCCACGTAAGAGCGGAGTTTGGATCCACATTTGGACTGGAAATTGAAAAGGTTAAGAGGTCAAGAAAATTTAAGGGTTGGTTAAAAGTTTCCAAAATCAACATCAATAGCCACGTTTACATGGGCAAAATTTCTTGAGCCATTAAAAAATTGAGGGATCAGATAATCTGAATCCACTTTTTATATGGGTGTAAAATCAAATAATCCGATCATGACGTGTATATATGTACCAAGTTTTATTCAGATTAGAAGCATTTGGACCTGCGCAGAGTTGTCTGATTTTGCTAAAGCAACCGCAGAAGAAAAGTTGTATTTCCGCCTGTGCTGTTAACAAATGAAACAATTGCGGTAGTGGCTCACTCCATCCAATTCAGGAGTTTTCCCCCCTGTTAAATGTTGTCACTAGATGGCGCCCTTGCGTATTTATTTTACTGTTCTGTCAAAGGTTGCACTGTGCATGCAGATGTGACATCATTACACTGTATGTAGGCCTTGTTATGTTACCAGAGGAGCAGACGCGGCACCTGCGGTTGAGTGTTGATAATGAAACTTCCTGGCTAAAGAGTGAAGATTAAGTCAGGCAAGCGAGTCACGATTGGAATAAATGTTTACATGGACGTGTTTCGGAATAGCGACTAGCATAGATCACTCCTCTCGATCGGAATACAGTTTCTTTCCGATTGAGCCGAATTGGATCAGAATCTTCCTACTGACATGTTTACATGACGCTTTTTTTTTTTTTTTCAGATCGGGCATTTATTCTGATTATTTGTGCCCACATAAACACAGCTAGTGTCAGAAGAAACTGGAATAAAAGCAACACTGATAAATACAATGAATGGTTTCACAGACGTGTGCTCAGCTCCATGGACCATGTGTTAGAATCCCAATCACAATGCGGCTCTATGGTTGGTGTGGAAGAAACTGTTGGGGTCAGGGTCCTGGAGGCTTCTACATCCTGAAGAGATGCAAGACTGTAGTCAGTTAGCCTCTCTTTAAGTAGGTGACCCACTGCAGGCTGCTCTACTGCTTTATCTACCTTATAAATATGAGTACTTCTTTTTAAGAAGACACAAACATTGCATGCACAAAGTTTTCAAAAGGCACCTAACCCAGCAGTGCTTCTACTCCTTTTGTCACTAGTTATTGGAAGAGTTGGATGCCATTGCCACAAACTAAACAGCCTAATCTCTGTCAACTGATACAATTTGACCATAAATTGCAGAGATAATTTGAGGGATTTAAATTTGCTGGAAGAAATGATTTAATATACATAACAGAGAAGCTCATACTTCCATGTCCTCCAGTCTTCTAACAGTTTTTGCAAAGAGGCAATGCTGCATATTTTCCAAAACCCTGAACCAAATAAATCATTTAAACAGCTCCTAATTTTGAAATCAAAGTGTAGCTTCTGTTTTAAAATTGCCTTTTTGCTCAGTCAATTAAAAAAAAAATGTTTTAGATTTGTTTTCATTTCTGCTCCAGCATAAGCAATGACTTTGTTTTTATGTGGAGTTAAGCCTTCTGAGCCCCATCCTTCCATCTGAACCGCTGATTTATAACCTGACGTGCATCTTTATGTCTCCTGTGACGGTGTATTATCCCCTAGACTGTTTTTGAGTCATGACACATGTAAGCAATGATCAGTATTGAGGAAACTGTGCACATGCTGCAGCCGATGATTGTCTCTTTTTCAGTCAGATTACAGATGGATATTATCCTTAATATGTGTAATCCATCATATCTCACCATAGAAGTTGAATTGCCTCATACATATTGACAGCAACTCAGCCATATGTTCAGAACAGACTGGGATTACAAATGATATTGTGCACACTATAGGTAGCTGCAGCAGCGGTAGTTTGATGCCTTATGACTGATACGTGACACTGCAACTCAGCAAACGTGAGTGCGCTGAAATCACCAACCACATTTGACTTTCCTGTTTTCAGTGAAAGAGAAAAAGAAGGAAATTAAGTATAACAAGTATTTGAGTTGGAGGCAGAAACCTGTTAGCCTGCTGGGTTTCTAATCCCAATTTTAATCTAGATTACATCCACATCTGGCATCTCCACTCGCACATCCTTCTTGGACCCCATTGTGTGACTGACTGCCGTCATCAGATAAAGGAGGATGACCCCGTCTGTTTTGGAGGTCACCCCAGGATTTCAGAGGAGATGATAGATTATGTTTATCCCAATCCTGGATATTTCAGCAGATTAAGGGAGTACCACACTTACCCAACACAGATTTGCAGAGCCATGGCGCTCCTCTAAAGTGACATCAGTCCACGTGACGACAGGAAGGTGGTGTAAGTCTGTAAGTCAGAATTGTTGTTCAGAGAATACTTATCTTTGTGTCTGCCTCAGACAGATGTTTCTGTTTCTTCTTTTCTCAGAAATGTTCAGCGGCAGGGTTCTGACTGTGCATCCCCATCTCACTGAAGAGATTAAAACAAACCAAAAAACTTCAGCCCAGAAAATGGATTTCTCTCAGATTACTAGGAGAGCTTTTATTTGGAGCGATTTTAAGTACACGTCATGGTTGTTAGCACACGCTCTCTCTCTCCCTCGCTCACACATCCTCAACCTTCAACACAAACATCCCTCTTTCACTCCATCCCTCCATTTTCCTTATCATCTTATTAAAAACCATCTGGTTTCTTACTTCTGCAATATATTACATCACAGTTTACCTGGAGTTCACAGTAGAGAATGAAGAAACCATCACCGCTTTGAGTTCAGGCATACGAGAGAGATAGATATATATTTATATATATCTTTTCATATATGGGCCAAACTATCGTTTAGTTTATATTTCTTCTCAGAACATGGCTTCAAGCTTTTAAAAAATAAATAGATAGAGGCGCACCTCTTTGTATTCAAGACTGCAGAGTACAACCCCATTTCCATACGAGTTGGACACTGTGTAAAATGTTGAGGAAAATAGGATTTGATGGTTTGCAAATAAGTTAAAGCCTACATTCAATGAAAACTAACTATGAAACTAACAAATGAAATTCTAAAACTGAACCTTTTTATTATTGAAAATACATGCCCATTTTAACTTTGATCAATTTAGATAGTAACAAAAGGCATTTTCACTATTAAGTGCATCTTTGAATCACACCCTGCAGCTCCTGGTTACAAAGGAGGACAGTCTCTGTCAAGTAATTTTAATGGGTGATGAATCAGGACAGCAGGCAGACCAGTTTATCAGCAGGACTCTTCGACTACAGAGCTATGCTGTGTAATTCCTGCAGAGTGTATTTTTCATTGTCTTGCTAAAATATGAATGGTCTTAACTAAAAAGTCTTTGTCTGGATGGTGGCAAACCTGTGTATATTATATTGTTCAGCATAAATGGAGCCTTTACAGTTGTGTGATACGCTTTTAAACTGCATCTCTAAACTGTATCACCGTCAAAGTTTTATTTATTTTTTTTATTTTTTATTTTTTGGAGCCTATGCAGGGATTTCCACTGCAGAGTCACGTCTCGTTTTTAATGCCCAAGAGTTTTAAAGTTCTAGTATCTAGTATTCGTCTCAGCCTTGTCCCCTGGACACAGAGATTTCTCCAGATTCTCTGAATCTTTGAATGACTGTACTGAACTCCACTGTACATGATCGAAACCCCCAGACCGAACTTTGCAGTTTTACACTGCAAAGAATTTTACACTTTTTTTTTTCAAAAAATGCTGGACTATTTCGTTACCTCATCTCATAGAGTGGTCAATCTCTTTCCATCTTTACTGCTGAGACACTTCGCTTTTCTGGAAAGCCCTTTTTTTTTTATAAATCTCCTGTGATGTTACTGACCTGTTGGAAAGTAACCTCAACTATTGGAAGATACTCCTCTGGGAGTTCTTGAAGCATCACACATTTTCTGTCTTTTGCACCGTTGTAAGTCAAATACAGTTCGAATGATTAATATGATCATAATTTTTTTTCATCAATATTTTACCAAGTTTACCAAATCTTATGGAAATGTGGTTGTAAAAAAATAATAGAATAAAACTAAAAATTGCAGTTGCAGTTTATATATATACTTTTTTCACAGTGGAAGGAAAAGCAACTTTGGATTGAATATTGCATGTTTATGGAAACAGCTGGTTACTAATATTGCTGCAGAGGCTTTCTGGTCAGACACACTAGACTGTCCATTTTAAAGGGTTTGAAGTCTCTTGAGTTTCTGTGCAGTCTGCCAACCAAAGAGCAAAATAAATATTGTTTGTTTAATCTTTCATCCATAGCCTCAGTGAAGCGAGGCCTATGGAGGAATAGTCTTTGTAGTACTTGTTTTTGATGCAATAAAGAGGTGAGGGAACTCACATCTTCTTGGAAGTTTAGGATTGAGTTAGACTTTGCAAATGAAGTTCAGAAAGCTGAAGGTGGCAGGTTGTGATTGTTATTTCCTGCAGCTTCTTCACCTTTCCCTAAAAGAGCCAGGGACTCCAGAGAGTGAACACTGTCCTTATCCAGGCGTAGTCCCTGTCCAGGCACAGATAAGCCCCCCCCTTCCCCTTCTACTCCCACCTCCTGCTCGCCATTTGCGGCAGCGGCCGCCGCAGCAGCAGCTGCACACTCCTCTTTGAACAGTCGGTCATGCTCCATCTTGAGCTCTTGGTAGGAGCGGGAGAACATGTGGAAGATGGAGGTAGCAGGGAAGGCCATTATGAGGATCCCACTGAGGATGCTGCTCAGCGCTACAACCTGTCCTGGAATGGATCTAGGCACCATATCGCCGTAGCCCACTGTCGTCATAGAGATAATCGCCCACCAGTAGGAGGCGGGGATGCTGCTGAAGTCATGGGCACCCGTGAGCTCGCTCTCAGCCAAGTGGACCAGAGGTGAGAAGAGGGTGACAGCCACGCAGAGGAACAGCAGGAGGAGGCCGAACTCCCGGGTGCTGCGCCTTACTGTCAGCCCCAGTGTCTGCAAGCCCAGAGAGTGGCGAGCCAGCCGCATCACGTAGAGGATCCTCAGCGCCCGCAGAATCCTCAACACCAGACCCAGCTTGTCCAAGTAGCCCTTACCACCTCCTGGCCTCTCATGGTCCTGGTCTGGGTCCTCCTCCGTCACCACCAGGGAAACGTAGTAGGGAAGGATGGCCATGGCATCGATGATGTTGAGCGGCCCACGGAGGAAGTCCAGTTTGCTGCGTGCCTGGATGAAGCGCAGGAGGAACTCGAGGGAGAACCAGGCCACACACACTGTCTCTATGATGAACATGTTGTAGCACTTGGAGGAACACTCGCCCTGGGGGGGGGGGGGGTAGGAGAGGCAAAGAGACAGAGGGAGGGAGGAAGGGGAGAGGGAGAGGGAGTGAGGATGAGAGGAGCAGGAGTTTGACAGATGGGATAGAAGGCATGGAGAGATGGAGAGAAGACAAAAATCCTGCGGTCAGATAATCACCCTCTGTGGTCATTAATAAAACATGAGCTCAAGTCAGTCAGGATGCTAAAGCTCCTGCAGCAGCACTCATGGATGATACACTGACACGATCAATCAACTATTTTATTAGGCAGGGTTTCAGAGATCATTTGACACTTGGTGGGAACGGTGACAGAAAGCAATCAGGTCTGCATGCCCTCGAACTACAATATCAAGCAAGAGCGATGCAAGATCAGACACAATTTATTAGTGCAGTGCAGAGCCAGAACAGCAAGTCTCAGAGGCCACCACGTCTGGACAAATGACTCTTATTTTCACTCTTTTACCTCACATTCTTAAATCACTTTGTTGAGAAGTTGCATTATATTCCAACATCAACATTTTTTTTTAAATGGCATTAGTTGAAGTTAATCTAACAGTCACTACTCTCAGATTCAAACAACTTTATTTATTTGGTACAGGCAGTCCACCCAAATCATACATATGTTCAAGGGCTAGATTTCATCTCTGCATTTATTCTTTTCAGGCTCAAGTCAACTTAACATGTTAACTAGTCAATCAGCAGCCCAAGGCAAAAGTTTTTGTTCCATTACTGGAGCGACAAAGTCAAAGCTGCTACCACAGAGAGGCCAAGAAGGAAGACATTACACAGTAATGGAAAAAAATCAGAGTGAAGTTCAAGTCTTGTGTGCTTTGTCTTCTACAAACAAGTAAAAATGATTTGTAGTAATGGATGTCAGTTGAAGATGGTTGGATACCTTAATTGCATCCGTGGAAATATTTGGAGAAGGTCCAAAAGTACTTAATGTCATTCCGATACATTTACCTACAGGCTGTTAGGAATATAGATGGCACTAAAGCACTTTCATGAAGCTGCATAAGCGCAAGGCTTTAGCATTTTTACACTGAACCCCACAGCAGCATAATGTTGATTTCTCTGGAGGAATACAGATGCACAAAAAGCATGATGTGTAAACTCACAGTGGGGAAATGTACACACTCAGACGTGCTCACACTGACAGTGCTGCTCCATCCTGCTACTGCTGCTGTGTATTTCTAACCCCAAAGGTTGGGGTGCTGAATGAAACACTGGATTAAAAAAAAAAAAAAGACTTTGATTGCTTGCAAATCTAAAATTAAAAATTAAATGTTACAGCTGAAAAAAGGAAATATGTATGCTAATTTTAAGCTTGATGCCAGCAACATGTTACAAAAAAGTTTGAGCAGGAATGGTGAAAAACTTAAAAAAAGTTGTTGAAATGATAAAAGAAAAAACACCTGACTACTGGGTTACATTTAGGCAGGTTAGTAATATTACTAGGCATAAAAAAGACATTTCAGAGCAGCTGAGTCTCTCAGATCTAAAGATGTGAAGAGGTTGGGTGAGAGACTGCATCAAGAAGCTCCTAAGATGCATGATAACTATGACCTTCCTTTTGTCAAGCTTTTACTTTTTAAAATTCTTAATCCACACATTTTCTTTTGTGCCCAACATCTACTCTTCACTTTCGCCCTCGAACAGATGCATTTAGCAGCCACCCTCGAAATACTCATTGTCATTTACTTCTTAATCTGGAAGTTGGGTTACTAGTGCATTCATGTAAAGTGAGTTGGTGGCTTTCTTAGACAAATCTATGATAATGGAAAAATAAAAAAAACTGTTTTTCCAGTGAGGTTGGCAGAGGTGACATCATAGAGCAGGAGAATGTTGGTAAAACAAATATAGCAGCACCTTGGGAAAGACATTAGGAATGCAAACAGAGCGCAAATGAGATGAACCTTACACGCAAGGTTTGCAAGATATGTTACATAAAAACGAAATACGGTGTAAATAAGACAAACATAAAGGAAAGAAAAATGCTAAATTAGCTAAACAGTTGAAAAAAATATATAAATTGCGATATATTGTATCATGGCCCAAGTATTGTGATGATATTGTATTGTGGGACCACTGGTGATTCCCACCCTCCTGTGTACTTTGTTTTTCACTTAATTTTCCATATACTTTTTATACTGTTCAGTAACATGCAGCACTTATGCAGTCAAACAAAATGGTATTTGTTGTTTGAAACAAAGTTTTGACTCAGTTTGTTTTTAGATCAGTATCCTCATTTACAGCAACTTGTATTTTTGACTCTTTAAAAATGTTAAATACCATATTTTATTGCTATATTGTGATATGTCTTGTATCATGAGGTCCTCGCTAATATACAGCCGTATCGTATTGTATCATATCATATCATATCGTATCGTGTTGTATCGTATCGTGTTGTATCATATCGAATTGTATCGTGATATGTATCGTATCGTGAGGTCCTTGCCAATACCCACCCCTAGTTCCAATGTGCAATAGTAACCTGCTTATTTCACACTATTGCTGACATGTTGGCCATTTATTAAAGCTGTAATTTCTATCCTGTTTACTATAAAACATCCACATCTCTGTATATAAAACCACAACTGCTTTTATATAATCCTGATGGTCACTACTTGCATGCTCTCTCAGCCTCCTCTCTCACCAGCCTCTCCTCATTTTCTCATCGCTTGCTCCCTCCCTGCATTCATCTCTTGCCACTGTGTGCCTCATCTATTTCCTTTCTCCTCCACCCTCTTTCTTCTCCTGCCTCTATCTCCACCTCCTCATCACTCATTCTCTTTCCTCCTCCATCACCCTCGTCGCACTCCCTCCCTCTCATCCCTCATCCTCTGCTTGCCCCTCACTTCACTCTCTTTCTGCTTCATTCATTCACAGCTCATCTAAGTGAAACACAACTCCCTCCAGTGTTTCTCTATGCTTGATGCATCCCTCACACACGTGCCCCATTCCTGCTGCTCTCATCCATCACTGGCATCCCTCTTTCCTTCTCTCTCCGCTTCTTCTTGTGTCCCAGAGTGACTTTTAGCCTTTCACTTTGTTCCTGTGGAGTGGTATCTCTCTGCGTAAGATGTTATGCTGCACAGATACTCGCTGTTGTTACTGAATTGTAAATGACACTTTGTGTTGGAATTCTCCCCACAATGTTTTCATTCTCTAACCAAGGACACAGGTTGTGGAGAGCCATAGCCTTGGCCTGTACGTGTTCTTATATATTCTTCATCCATCTTTTATAAGGTGTGCAGCAGCCATGACAGCGTCTTTATATTTGCCTGTTGTTCCCCCTTCAAACTGTCTCATGAACACACCTTATAAAAATGGTGTGGCAAACTTGCACCAGGTGCCCCGACAACATCTGATCTCCTGTTAGATTTAGCTATCTGTGTGGTGGTGTAATGAAGTATGCTACAAACCAATTTGCTGGCCAAGGGAGTGACACAGAGGGGACGCTCAGCCTGGGTCTGCAGCCGTACACCAGGTCTCAAAATTGGCTCATCTTTTGGGTAGCTATGTACAATACCTAACACCTGCCACATGCCATGACACAGAGGTTGAGAACTTTTTGTGGCACAGCTCTACATTTCTGGAAATGAAGCTGCCAGGCTGGTGGAAAGTCAATACAGAGAGATTTTTCAGACTATCACACACCAGTACCTCTGCATACTTGCAACATCAGGTCTTCCTGAGTGTGTTTCATACTGCAGGACTGATTGTGATTCCCCCCTGATTGACAACCAACCATGTGAACATGCTTATTTTCTCAAGAAGAACAAGTTGGCAGAAAATGAGACACAGTGAGTCTGACATTTTTGGGTTCACTTCCTTTTTTGCAGCAATTTCACATTTTGGCTTTGTAGAGTTTATTTTTATGAGCCATACACTGTTCAGCATCATAAATGTGGCGAAAGTGGACTCATGTTTAAGGACTGTATTGTTAATTCTGCATGACTAAGGCTCACAGAGTAGACACTCACACTGTACAGTCCACTTTTCAAGCAGAATCTAAGAGTTCATGCAGTTTGTGTCAAGGATTATTGCCAATAAAGTTTTACACATGCTCAAGTTTGAGTCAGTATGGAAGACGGCCATGGATTTCCCTTATTTTTAATGCACTGTCGTCTCGACATAACAATGATTGTTTTCTCTAATAACATAAATGGTGTTTTAGTCGACATAAAATGGTAACTTCTAAAAACGCCTTCCAGGGTGGGATATTTCTGAAACACTGCAGCCCCTGGCATCAACAGCAAGCCCGGTTATTTATGAAAACGCTGACGTCACGCTCCACTTTGCGAATCAACACCTTCAACATAGGAATATTTAACTGCCATGGGCGATTTAGACAACAACAGTAATAATGGCGGACACATTATTAATTCATTCGTTAGCATGAGAAAAGATGTTGAGATAATGTGATAATAAATCATAATCAGAAGATAACAGAGCATAAAAAAGGAAAAAAGTTAGAGAAGAAGACTTCAACATTAAATGTAAAGTATAATTATCATTTTTCTGACTTGACAACAAAAGAACAAAATGAGGAAGTTTCTACATTGTGATTATGATTTTAGTTGTCTATGTCATGTAACATGTTACTGTGGACCCCTCAGATTCTGTCCACCACTTTACACGGACACAATCTAAAAAAAAAAGGCCAAAGTTTCTGGAATCTTCTTGTGGTTCAGCCGTCACTGTGCAAGGTTGTGCAGTTCGCCGACTAAGATTTCTGACATGCCAGAAAATAATCCCATTTGTCTTGAGTAAGTGATGAGATTGTGATCTACTTTAGGGCCCCTTCTACTCTGCACAACAAACAAATGCGTGACGAAGGCAAAATTCAGCCTGGCTCCAAAATCAGTTGTGTCACTCAAACACTGGGTCAGAGTTAGTTTCAAGTAAACACCAGTCCTCTCATGAACACGCTTAATTATACTTATAAATTGTAGACAAATGAAGGTTTATAAGTAATATTTCTTCATTCTTATAGCATTGTTAATGAAATCTGAGATTCCTGTCAGAGTTTTATTGCAGCCTCTTCATCACCTTAACTGCATACGATGGATTTTCACACTATGCTGCTCTACATACAGATCAATGAAATGCTCATCAGAAAGGCAACAATCCAAACAGTTTAGGAGCAAAATTATCTTTTGATAAACCAGCTTTTGCCAAATAGTTTCTGAGTCTCTCCCAACTCTAAACTGATGAACTGCTCCATGTCTAAGTTACTTGTTGTGGTCTGTACGTATGTCTTCTTCTGAATCTGGATGAATGACTTTTTCAAGAGGAGAAGAGCAGATTGAAAAACCCATTCATTACTTGTACCACGTGAAGTCGACAACAGCTGTACATTATCGACCTTGGCTTCGCATGAAGCATTTACCTCTTCACCTCTTCACCTCTGCTGCTTGCGCTTACTTGTATTGTTCATGTCTTTCTAGTGTTGTTTCCTGCAGTGTCGTGTAGCAGCAGCCTTGCAGAAACTTCTTCCCCACAGGTCACATGTTCTTTCTCCCACATGCACGCTCTGCCTCTCATTTGTTCCCTCTCTTTCTCTTCTCTCTCATGAGCTGACATTAGGTCCATCAGGGCTTTGTGACACCGTTCTCGCCCTCTGCATGATAGGCCATTTGTTACAGCGAGGAGCCTCCACTTTTGTCTTTCAAACACACACACACAGTAATACACACACTCACACCCACAATACCTCCCACAATACCCGCTATCTCCCTGACCTTATCTCCTCTGTGTGACTCTCTCCGGAGCCAAGTCAGTGACAGCTCATTTCAACACCAACCCAGCAGCTGTCTCACGCCATGCTTCACATTATCATCTGCATTAACACATCTCAATGTCAAATTAAGAAAAAGACTGCAGAGAAAAAGCAATCACTGTACAAGGCATGCTGGGAATAGAAGCATTTGGAGGGACTACTGTACTGTATTAGGAGGCTACATCCTTTTTTCCCCTCAAGTTATCTTTACCCATGGGCTACCACTGTTATTTACTCTGTGATATCAAGTCACCGCTCTGCGGACAATAATGAAGAAATTACTCATGTGGACCTCTCATGCATTTTCAAAAAGTCTGCAGTGATACAAGCAGTTTACAGATGTCCATTTTCACACCTCTGTTTTATTACTGCAGAGCTGATAACCCAGTGGTAGGTCACATCTCCTGCCAGTGTTATTCACAGCATGTGGAGACATTGTTTATATATGTGGCCTAGTGCTGGGCAATAAAACGACAATGATACATTTCAAAAATTAATTTCCCTCAATATCAATATAAAACATGGTCCATATGCTTTTCGATAGTTGGCATTCTGCCATGTTTTGGTAGACTATATGAATAGCCAATGAATAGGGGAGTTGCTCCGGGTCCGCTTCACGCTGAACCAATCATGTGTTGAATTAGAACCAAGTAGCAAACAACTGTGTAGTAGCAGGCAGCACTATCGGTGAGACAAAAGAAAAAGAGTGCTACCCCCGGCAGAAATGCTGACAAAGGCTCAACAGATGATGATATCGTCGACAAAACTGGCACAAAAACGTCGGTGGTGTGGAGGTATTTGGTTTTTTTGAGATCAGACATGAAGCAGAGTAATGTGCACTGCAAATTATGTCAAGTACATGTTCTCACCACCTGAAGTGGTGTTACGCTGCAGAGCACACGCAATGCAAAAGGTTACAAACCCCGAGCGGCGCAAGGAGCCCATGGTGCCTGTGCAGCTGAAACAGACGATTATTCAGTCCGCTTTCTCTAGTGCAGAGCCACACAACGAAACGTCAAAGAGACACAAAGACCTCACAGATGCAGTCGCTTATTGTACTACAAAAGAAATTATACCAATACGCACTAAATTTCATTTTTATATCATGTTATATATTGATATCGATTGATTTGAAAAAAAATATAGTGATCAACTTTTTCACATATGGCCTAGCCCCGATGTGGCCTTTAATGCCATTTGTTGTGCAGTACTTTTGTTGTGATAAATAAAAAGTACAGACCAAAATCTTTGTTTACATTGATGTAAAATTTGGAATGCTTTGACATTTTGGCAATTACGGGAGAGAAAATGAGTCACTGACATTTATACAGATAGTCGTGTATTTTTCTTTTCAGAGATGGTGATGTTTAATCTGATGTCTGGGAATATGGAGCCATATTTCCGTTTCATCCCACCGAATGAGCCTCATAACTGCTGGCAGGTTTGGCTCTGCAGTTTAATTGGTTGCTTTTCAGTCTCTGATTAAACATCTGGGATTTTATTGCATAATATCATTTTCAGGGTGTTACACTGATGCCAGCGTTAGTGTTAATGACTGGACAGATGGTGAAAGAACCAAAATTGGAGCAATATGGTTTGAATCTCTTTTACACACTGAACACGCAAACAGTTTTCACCAGCCTAGAAGTTAAACATGAATGACAAAACAATGAATTTATCTTCCTTTGCAGAAGGCAGAAAATAATGTGTTTTTTTTTAACTTATGTGGGGTTAAAATGAGCTCAGTCTAATATGCAAACATCACTCCTGCAGTCTGTTGAGTTTCACATTGCTGTAGACAGTCCCCCATCTCTCCTCTGTTAGTGACCCATCTCAGAGCAGCTGCTGGATGCTCCAACAGCAGGCCGGCGGGGTTTGAAGTGTAAATGTGTTTCTTTATTGTCCAACACGAGAAAGCTTCTATATTGCTGAATTATGAATGTCTTTTTTCCTCTTACTTGTGGATCAGATAAACCTCCCTCTTCAGTCTGTAATTAGGACGACGCCTCCCTTATGCACCCTCCTCCAGTTCCATGTATGTTACAGAGATGTAGATATGCGCGCTATAGACTGTGTTTAAAATTTCATTATCATGCTTAGGACTGCTCTCCAGTGTTTTGCTCCAGCTTTTAATTTCATTCCCCGCTTCTTTCACGGTACTGTATATCTCCCGCTCTGCAGCTCCTCCTTTCTGGAGCCTGTCTTTCAGTCAGGAGGAAAAGCTTCTGCGGTGATCCTATCTAATTCATCATATTTCGCTGAAGGAACAATCCTACCCGTCACTCAGCTTCAGCTTGGCCACACTTTGCACCACTGAACGCTGTTTCTCTCTGCTTCTGCTCTGACCTTCACTTACTTTTACAAGCTTAAAGAAAAGAAAGGAGGAGAGGGGTTGGACGGCATTGACAGAGACAGAGAGACATGGAGGAAGAATGATGTGGGTGTGGTTGAACGCCTTAAACTGGAGCCCTGCACATCAAGCACTGGGTTCAGCAGTCATGGGTTATTAACAAGCTTGTATCAAGTGACACGTCCATTCATCATCAGGCTGGTTCCCCCTCGTGACCTCAAAGCTTCATGTATGCACTAATGCACACATGGTAGAGCGAGCAAACGGTTATGTTGCGACCTTAAAATGACACTTAGTGGATTTTTTACAGCATGACCACTAAAAAACTGAATACTTTATTTCATATGTTTTACGGGTCTTAAGCACACACATTCAGAGGGTATGAGGCTGTTTTATAGTAAAGCTGTGAAAACCGTCTTTTTTTGATCATTGCATCGTATAATGTCACAGAATCTCAACTCTGTCTGAGCGGCTGAAACAAATGGGTGACATTTTTCACACAAGCACCTATAAAAGACTTTATCAGACCACTGTCATCGATCTCTTCTGCCCTTTCCCTCTCTGTCAGTCTGTCCGTCTCTTCCCTCTGTCTCCCACTTTCACACACACACACACACACACACACACACACACACACACACACACACACACACACACACACACACACACACACACACACTACAGAAGAGTCATAAAATGTCCAGGCTGAGAACAGGTCTGAATGTCCAAGACCTAGTTTTGGTCACGGGGCAAATGCACCAAGGTACTACTCTTATACTGTGGGTTTCTTTTTTTATTCCTCCTTATTCCTCCAAATTTCTATTCAGTCCTACAGCTTGAAGAGTTGTAGAACAACTTATCTTTCGAACATCAGAATGGTGTGCTATTACTTTTCTTTATGGGTTATGGAAAAACTATGGAAAAATTTAGCATTGAAATCAACAACAAAAAAAAAAAAAAAGAGTTTTAAACTTTAAAATGTAGACACCTTGTCTTTTGGAGTATTAATCCAAGTCTCAACAGGTTTTTGATCATTCACTGTTCAATGACCATGGTCAATTTTGGAGAAATTCTGAGATTATAATGGGAGTGTGTCGTGTAAAATTTTTGCGATAGATTGGTTGACATTATCGGCTAGAGTGAGAGAAGTTGCATGAAATTGCCTGAAACTTTTCTCTTTTCACTCTCCTCCCAGCCACAAATGACACTCTACATGCATAGTTTTTCCACAGTTGCAGACACACTTGTTCTGTCTCCAACCATGTGTTCATCTAAGCAGAGAGACTTACAGAATTTAAATACTGAGCCTCTAAGTGTGGCAATGTCTCTTTCTGCTCTTCATTGACGCTAATACAAAGATTTTCTGAGTGAGGCAGAAGGGACTCCTGTATACAACTTGCAAGTATGTCCAAACTAATTACTGTAAAAACACCAAAATCATATCAAAGTGTTCAGGAAGTTCTTGTGATGACCAGGGTTTGCTTTTTTTCTGATATGAGCTACTGTTTTGTCAGAATAAACCCAAATCTAAGAACAGCGCTGAGACAAAGTCGCTATTTTTCTGGACGTTTGGCTGCCTCAGCCTGCGGTGCGTCTATCGTCGTAGCAACCTGTGAGCCTCAGGCCAGGCCCACAGCTGAGACCAATTCACTAATCAGGGACTGCTCTGAAATCACTGCATCATTAAATCATTTTCAGAGCAATTTGATTAACGATAAAAAGCTGACTCTCAACTAGAATCCTAATTAGGGCCACAGGGTAAACACACCAAGGCACTGGCTCCTTTACAATCGAGATGCTACAGACCTTACAGAAGGCCCCGAAGCATTATTGTTATACTGTGGATTTTTTCTTATTCCTCTTCTGGACAAATTTTGATTTGCTATTAGTTCAACAGCTTAAACAGTTGTAGGACAAATTATATATCAATATGTGTGTTTTAATTGGGAACGGTGTGCTCTTATTATCTATTTTATATGAATTTTCGTTACGTAAGTCACAAAAAACTGTGGAAAAAATTTGCAGTTAAGTCAATGGGACAAGCAAAAAAATGGGGAGGGGGGGGGGCAATCACTGTAGTTAAAGAATGTTTGTGGTGTGCTCCTTGTATATAATATTACAGTAGTTTCAATAGTATTAACTATGTGACATCTCTTAAGAATCCCCTAATAATTTACACACCCTGGCAGTAGTTTTTGTGGCACTTTCAAAATTTCCCAGAGTGACTTTTCTAGTTTCTACTATTTTGCTCTTTATTTGATAAGCTGGTCTTTGTAGGCTTGAAAAGTTGACGGGAATTAATGATTAGAGTTAAGTCTCAAAAAGATGAAATTTTTACATGTTTTATATTTCATTTAACATTTAGATATTTGGCACATAACAGGTCCTGTGACAAGAAAGTTAAGACATTGAAAAGGAGAGAGCTTTAAAATAAGGAAAAGAAGACTACTCTGGCACAGGCAATGCAGCTGTGATGGTTTGAAGCTGTGATGGTTCAGCTCTAAAGGCAGAAAGACCCCCAGATATCTGATGGGATCAACAGACACTGGAGGGAAACAGACTATGATTCCTGGGGAGTGGGATTGAATGTAGCTCAGGGGTCCGTTTCATGTAGCAGGTTTAATGGAAACTCAGAGTCTGTTAACCCCGAAATCACCCGTTTTTCTGGCATCTGCCCTCTTTCTGTTTGCTGAGTGAAAGTCTAATATTGAGTGTAGTGTGTGTTAGTTTAATATATGTACATATACATACTGAGAGTTAGTTTAATATTCCGAATCATTTAACAGAACATAATAAGAGAGTAAAATTCATTTTTGAGTGTGAAAAGAGCATTTTTTAAGGGATCAAACTGCCACTTAATACTTACTTGACAATGTAAAACATGAGAAAATGCCAATGTCTCACCTGTTTGCACAATGTTTTTAAATTTAATTTTCAGCTGCTGCCAAGTGCATTTTTGACCCGCTGGATTGCACCTACATAAAATAAATTAATTTGCTCCATGCAAGCAGTTTCCCCTGCAACAGTCTGTCATTGTGATTGCACAAGACTAGATTTAAAGTTACGCATTGACGCGAGCAGCGATTTCCTCCCATGCCCTCTCCCTCTCCTTTGCAGCTGCTGCTGTATTGCACTTTCTTTTAAAAACGTGCTGTAATTCGCCGTTGGCTTGCTGCTGCCCCCTCCTTCTCCCTGTTTCCATTGGTTGATCAATGAATCTGGGCTCCACAGATGCTGGCTGTTTATGTCTGGCGTGCACGTGCTTAACTCCAGGTCAAACTACTCAGAGTTGCTAAAACTGACTCAAATCAGGTGTTGTGAAACCGGAAACTCAGAGTTTCCTATCTCAGAGTAGATCAACTCAGAGTTAAGGATTTGAATCAGAGTTTGTTGAACCACCTTCGTGAAACGGAACCCAGGTCTTTTGGTTGATTTTTGTAGGTGCCTATGATGCACTGTGATAAAATCATTGTAGCCACACTAGTTACAGTTTGAGATCTTAAATTTGCCATCTTTGTGCGTGACTGTGTTCATAGCAGGAGTTCATTTGCTGGTGAAATCTGGTTTGACTTTGGACATCGATTGATTGAAACTTACAGAAATGACTCCGGATGTTTTGATCCTCATATAAGAGTATTTATTCACACGTTGGTTGAGTGAGGTCTCCACCCTGCATGGACTCTTTTATTTTTAGAAATCCTTGCTGTGCATTATGATGAAAGAGCAACAAATAGCCATCCAGTCTCCTGAGACTCCCAGCCCCCTGACTTTAATGACATGCAAGTGCAAACCACCGAGCACCAAAACAAGGAGCCAGAGTATGAAAGCAGAGTCAGGCAGTTTTATATCCATATGAAGCTGCTGGAAAAGCTGCCAAACATCCTATCACTGACAGAAGACCAAAAGCTTGTTCATGTTCAAACAGCCTAATGGAGGAAAATGAACAAGGGAATGAGGGGAGGATGAATAGATGGAACAAAGGAGATGAGAGAAAAGGAAGGATGGAAGGGGAGAGAAGGGTGTTAGGTGGTGCAGAGGGGAGGAGAGAGAGAGAGTGAGAGAGAGAGAGAGAGAGAGAGAGAGAGAGTTTATGAGGGAAAGACGAGGTGACATCTGAAGCATTTTGGTTGTCCGTCATGCACCATAAGTCTTTACTTTGGTCTGTCAGGATGCTGCGCACACACGCACACACACAATCAGAATGAGGCTGATACAGCATACAGAACAATGAGGCTCCAATTTCTCTCAGAGTTGTTGTAGTGTCTATTAGATGGGAGTGACAAACAAGAAAACTCACAATAAACAAAATCTAAAATCTTGTTAATAACTCTGGCCCCCTACAATCATAAAAATACAATAACTGAGAGTGAACAATATCGAGCTGCCTGCTGTGTTGCCCCAGCCACATCCTAAATTCATTGAAATAACCTGATAAAGTTTTAAGGCCACCGTTAATGCACCATCACAAAGAAGTACAAACAAACATACACACTTTACAATATATCAAAGCCTCTGCTTTTTACTGCAAAATGCTGCAACAGCAGTTTAGTCACTTAAGTTGTATATATGAGTGCGTTTAGCTTTTTTAAAATCTGATCAAGGGAAATCATCGGCGTGGTTCTAATACTGCAGACTCAAGTATCAAAGCAAAGGAGCTATATGCTTAAATCAGCATAACACATAAGTGATAATTATCTATTCATCTTATTTTAGTTTTTAAATCTATTGCAGTACACTGAAAGTTCCTCTTTATTTTTATTTATTTATTTTGCATCAATAAGCACATCATAAAGTCAGAACACACACAAAGACAGACATGCGCACACACACAAACCAATAAGTCTGTCAGGCTCTGCAGGCTGCATGAAGAGATGTGAGTTGCAAAGGTTGTGTTTGACCTCAGTTATAGGGTGAAGCTGCAGTCTGAAGAAGTCTGAGGTGCATTTTGATGTGTTGTGGGATCAGAAAGGGCAAAAAGGACAACCTCTGTGTGCATGACTTGAGAGGGAAAAACTGGTGTGTTTGTTTGTGATGCCATGTCCTCTTTCCTTCAAACCCCTCTACCTTCAGATTTTTCTCGTTCCTTTAGCGCTTCCTGTCTTTGCTTACATATCATCCTCAGTCTGCTGCTCTGTGATGCATCGTATGGCTCATTATTAAACACCCCAAATCTGCTACCTCCACAGCTGCTCCTCATCCTTAATTAGTGCCAGAGTTAGGACTGAATGATTACTGGCATTTGCGATTACTTTGTGGTATGATAAAATGCAATTTTCTAACTCTGAAGGCTGCGATCTTGACTGGTCACGTGATCTGGTCACATGACTTGCTAGTGAAGCAGAGCAGGTGTAGAGAGAAGTCAACACAGGACTCTGTTGCACAATGGCCTAATTCCACTACAGAAGCTGACACTGCAGAAAGTTTAGTACCACAGAGGAGCAGTTGTGTGGATTTATTTTGGCAAAAAAGATGTTCCTTGGCAACATGTGCAGAACCTGCCATGCCACTGTTGCTACATCAGGAGGTAAAACTAAGAACCTTTATCAACACTTTAAAAAACACAACAAAGCCATGTAAGATAGTTGAATGGCTAAAACACCAGTGACCAGCACTTTAACTTCAAACCACGTTGGCATAACGACGGAAAACACATCCAATACAGTGACGGCAGCACAGCTGAATGAATAGACCTGACTCCGGTGTTTTGGGCAACAATTACATCTCGCCATCAGTATGTAGATGAATATCATGACGTACATGATGACGTGTGCATGTGTGTACGCAATAGTGTGTGCGCAGAGAGAGAACCTGTGTGTGTTTGTATGAAACTATTATCGCCAGAAAGAACAATTTATGTTTAATAAATCTGATATTGTTTACTGTAATACAGATTGATTTGTTCTTTGTGTTTATTGAAAAATACATTAGAAGAGGGCCTTGAAAAAATAATTGCATTACAAACGGCAATCACAATATTGAGAAAAAAAAAATTGCAATTAGATTATTCTCCAAAATCGTTAAGTCCTACTGCCAGAATGTACTGCCAGATTGTCTGTTGAGAATGTGTCTGCTGTTTACTTGCTGGTTAAACCAAATCTGGCCAGACTTTGGTCAACATGGATGAACAAATTGGCACTGCTGACGACAAGACCATGTTGTGCCAAAGAGTCCAAAGAGGAGGCTTATCAGCTTTGTTGCACAATTCACCTTTATGTAACAGTCTTATAACGAACAGTCTTCCAAAACAGAAGGTGTTTTTTTAAACTGGTTATGAGACCATTAATGGAACTAATGGCCTCCAGATGAACCTCGCCTTCTTATTATCCAACATGGAACAGAGTTAGCTTTCTTTCAAAACCATTCGATGTCCTGATTTGCACCAAACTTCTCTACACTTCTGGATCTGATTCCACTACTTTGCTTATTTACACATGTACAGATTATTTTAGGTGTAATTCTGTTCACATGCATAAAAATTAGTTTTATAAATGAAAAAAATCACAAAACTGCTGAGACTTATGAAAGTTTATTTCTGAAGATTGGGACAGTGGTGCTATTGACTACATTTCTGGCACGTTATTTTTAATGCCTGTTTCTATTTTGACCTAGAGGGTTTAATTTGTTGTTGGTGGTGGTTTTGCCAAAGAATTTGTTTTGATATTTTTGCACAGCCTCTTAGCATGTCCATAAATAAAAGTCCCAATGTGTGCAAATGAAACAGCCACATTTCAGGAGGTGCAATGTCAGTCTTGGGACCTGAAACATGTCATACAGCCATCACCTCCTCATCCAGGGTTCATCTGCAATCAAAGTCCACCTGATATAATTTTAATGCAGCCCCTCACTCAAACACTCAGACCAAGCATTAAGTTTTTTCAGCAGTTCGACTCCTAGTAACTTCTTTGTTGGACCTCACAGCTCATCCTCAGCTCCCCACAGTCAATACTGAGTCTTTACTTCTTATTGCCTCAGTGTTCGTTCAACAGTTCTCCTTCTTTGGACTACTTTCGGCTCCCTACCAGAAACACCACAGAAGAGCTGCACTTTTGGAGATGCTCTGACCCAGTCACAGCCATCATAATTTGGCTGTATTTATAGCTGCTCACACCTTTACACTCTCCCATTTTTTCCAGCTCCCACACATAAACACTAAGGACAGGGGTTTTTGCTCACTGCTGAACATAATTCACACGCTGTCAGGTGCCATTGTAAAGAGGTAATCTCTGTCTTCAAATTCACCTGTCTGTGGTCATAATGTTGTCAGTGATCGGTGTGTAGATCAAAGCTGCTCCACTTTACTCTCTGCATTGTGCTGTATTGGTTTAATGCTGTGTTGTGCATTATAACCCCATCCTGGCACGGACAGGATGAACACCTCATACTTTGCTGTTCTTTTCCATAATCCCACTTGGCAGCCATGTAGCACATCAGACACAGAGGGAATACAGCTCATGAGCAGACAGGCAGCAATAGGCATGAAATCTGCTTCGCACTGATACAGACATACAGGGCATATACATGCCTGCAGACATGGACCAAGCACATACGCATGCACAAGTAATTACCAGTGCATGTGCGTACATGAAGATGCTCTGCTCATGCTTTGAGTCCAGCCATTAGCATAAGAAGTGTTTACAATGAAAAGTTTGAGGTTGTAAGACTGAGAAAGATGTTGTAGGTGCAATAGCAGTATGTTAATTTTTTAATTGAGGAGAACTAATGTTGCCTGACCTTCCCCCAATACATAATTTAATTCAGGTATAATGTTCTAGTGACTGTGACTGGGTTTCATCCAATCTAATCCAATACGTTTTATTTATATAGCACAATTTAAGCAAACGCAAGGTTTCCAAAGTGCTGCACAGCAAGATATAAAATACAATAAATAACACAACAGAAGCACAATAAATAAGGTCAAAATAAAATGAGATAAAATACAGTGAAATCAAATAAAAACAAACACAATCAATAAAATCAATAAAATAAAGTCAACCTCCTACTGGGTGTTAAAAGCCAAGGAGAAGTTGTTTTAGTAGGCCTTTACAGAACAGTCTACAACAGCCTGCTCACTATAGTCACATATACATTATATTTCCTTTGTTGACAATGGTCTAGTACACTCACAGTTTCAGATGCCAAGGTGGAAAAAGTCTGGTCGAGGAGATCAGATTTTAGATTAAGGATCGTTGTGGCCACAAAAAAGTCACAATCACAGTAACAATAGTGTTACTTTGAGACTCACTGGCTGCTGCATCAGCCCCATGCTGTGCCTGTGCTATACACAAGCCATAGTGGCAGATTTCATGCAATGTCCATACTCATTATATTGCCGGTCTTGTTATGTTTTCTCCAAGGAAACCAAATCGGATATAATTGAGTTGAAGCTGCTGTTCTTGATGCTGCAGTTATTGCACAGAGAAATAAAAGGGGTGGCATCAGAGGAGGCGTATCATAAGACTGCCGAGGAAGAGAATGGGGGGATGGGGCAGTGATAGAAGTTGACCATTAAACAGACTCCTTCTGTGATGATAGCAGTCATCCACTGTCCTTGGAGTAAACTCTGTTCATGTTTCTGATTATGAGTGTTTCGCAGTTCAGTTCAAACTTCACAATAACAAAGAGGCATTCAAAGAACTCTTTCATTTCATCGTGTTCATGCGCAACACTGGAAATAAGAGACTGCGAACATAGCGTACTGACCAATCAGGATCAAGTGTTAAATATAACCATAATAATAATCAGGTAGCTGCAGTTGCTGTATGGTCAACTTTGTCAGGCTCAGTATGTGTCTGTGCGTCAGCGATATTATAAACACCTCAGAGGCTTCCAGGGCTCTAAACTCCGCTCTGCTCTTTTCCGCATCTGCTTTATTTTTATTTCTCCCACTCCCCCTCTCCATCTCCCTCTCCCTCTCCCCTCCAACCACCAGCATATCTAAACTCTTGTTTACTTTCTTTGACTTATAGTCGCTATGACTGACTGTCAGAGTTTACACACTTGGACACTAATTTATGCGCCATTCATGTTCATTTAGTGGAGGCTGAAATTATGAGGAGAGGAAGAAACTAATGTGACACATGAGGAATGGGTTCTTAATTTGGTCCTGCAGTTGTTACACACTCAAACAGGCTCATGATTGATGATCATGCTTTGTCCTCCAGCTCAGCAGAGCTCAGCTGTGTACAGAAAGACAAAGATAATCCACACACACAGAGAAACATACACAAAAGTACAATAACTGAGTGGCTCTAAAGTCTCACTGCTGGTTCTTTGGATCTCCTGTTACTTTCATAAGTGTGCTTCACATTTCAAGTGTGGCAATGAATTACCTCAAATAAAACCATAAACCGTGGAAGTCTACGACTGTTTTACCCAGAGACAAAATTCACAAATGTTTCCTTTTTTGTTGCAGATCAGGATGTTGGCTGTGCTGCGTGGAGCTGCAGGCGAAATTCATTCATGCTTCCAAGTACAGACAGTCAAAAACTGTTGGATACCAAATCACAACTCGCCCTCAGAGATAATAAATGTGGAAACTGGCTTTGTTGATCCACATAATGCAATTCTGCACAGTTGAGTTAACGGAGATGGTCACGCACAAGCAGAACTGCCTCTGAGGTTGAATCAGAGCCAAAACTTTGATCTTTTCAAAAAGACTAAGAGGAGCCGGACATTGCAGCAAAATGCCAGATAAGAGGACAAACTTTGTTTTTAATTTGTGGCTGTTTGAGATCTGAGGAGCAGATTAATCCATGCAAAGATCCCCACCACTGTGGCCCACAGTTTTCTTATTTTCCTGATGTTTTGTGCCTAATCTGAACTCTGAATCAGGCTATGAACTGAGCATGAACCCTCACTTAGAAGTCGAGGTTGAAACTCGGTTACTTCTTTGATTTATTGTACTTGCTGCCACACTTCGATTCTTTATTTCTCCAGGGGAAACTTGTAACTACTGAACTGCTATTATCTCTGTAACTTGAATTCATCCATTTTGTTTCATTTAATCTCATTTTGACAACTTATTCAGTTCGATTTTAACATCATTGTGACTCATTTCATCGATCATTGTTCTGTTGTGGTTTAAATGAATTTGATTCAGATTTCTTAAGCTGCTCCGCCTTTTCTTTGGCTACAAAGCCATTCAAATTGCTTCTGTGTTTGCAATGAGCTTTCACAAGTTTCCTCACCTATTATTTTAAGTCTTAAAGGCAGATCTGAGTCAGTGGCTGACCCTTATCTTTTAATAGCAGGAAGAAACTCAATACGGGGCCTCATACCTCGAAGCCATCAGCTTTAAAGTTTTCTCCCCAACACTTTAAAACCTGGGTATGTTTTACATTCATGACTAAAGCTTCCTGATTCTATTATTAACTGATAACCTTTACAGTTTAATGTAAATTTCACTCAGACACCCAGACACTGATTTGCTCTCATTGATATTCAAGGTTGTAACGTTTCTGTTCCATCACTGCAGCTCTGCTGATCATTCACACCAGGTACAGATGGTCTAACATAATAATGGTTGTACAATACTACAGAGAGGGTTTGTGATCTGAGGGCTCATAAATACTCATTTATAGTGAAATACTTTTCAACAATTGTAATCATTCAGTTTATATCAACGAGCTTAAGGAAGACATGCAGACAGAGGGGTTAATTTGTGCATGTATCTGACATAAATCAGACATGAGCCTGAAGATGTTTAAAGTTGGGGATAATGCTTATTAAACTGAATGTATAGACTGTCTCTCTCTGGTGGTTTGGGTATCTCCAAAGTGATGTCGAGCAATTAAGCCGATGTGAAAAGTATGTCAGCGGTTAGTGCCCTCACAAACCGGCAACACGACAGATCGGTTTAATCATTTGAAGATGTATTTCCTGAGTGATGATGCGAAAAGAATGAAAACGCGAGCGGAGTCTGCACAGCCTGTCACTGCTGATAGCACAAGTAGAATTAACAGCTTGGCCCCAATTAGTGGTGCAGCCAACAGACCAAAGCAGCAATCAACTGTATCATGTATGTTTACATTATATAATGTTTACATTTTAAGGCATCTTCATTATCTCTGAGGGGGTGATTTGTCTATTTTGGTTGTCTACTAGTATTATTTAGTATTTATCTACATTTGTTGTTCTGTTGAATTAAAATGTTTTTTATGTATATTTTTTAAGTTTATCTTATTCAATTTGCTTTGTTATTCACTTTGTTAATGAAATGTTGAACTAATCTAATTTCTTTAGTTTTTAGTCCAGTTGCTTTAAAACTCGCAGTTATAAAAAAAAATAGTGATAATCATCGAGATCGGTCAATACGACAAAATATATTGTGATCAATTTTTTTTTTTTTTGCCTAATCACCCAGTCCAAGGTTCAGGTATGCTTTACAACCAGTTCACTGAACAGAATCCTGATTTTAACTCAGCAACGAGTAGGTACAAAAATTAACTGAGGGTCTTCAGGAGAGGGTGTTGCTCTACTTTTTCCTCTCCGAGATAGCAGGGGTCCAGTCAGTCCTCAGGCTGTTTTCACACCTCAACTGTAACTGTCACCACTTCCCCAGGAAAGTACAAAAGTGTTTCCGTTAGTGTCAACAGAAGTCCTTTCCATGGATCGATTGGATATGATGCGTGTGATCCGGTTGTCTCTTGAGTCGCTCTTCCTTTTCAGAATCGAAAATGTCCTCAAGGTTAGGTTGTTTGGCAGTTTTGTCCAATCAGAATCAAGTATTGGACACAGTTCGGTGATTAGTTTATAAGTTGGGTAATGAGAGGAATAGGTCATCCATCTTAGAAACTTTTCTTCACTATGTCAAGCAGATCCACCGACACTTCCACATATCACTATGAACCTTTGAATATTTATGATGTGCAAAAGACTGCCGATGAGAATCATGTCGCTCCTCGTGCTCTGTTTGATACTGACATAACAAAACTCTGTTTCGAGTAATTATGCGAAATGACACCAACCAAGGTTGTTTTTGCAGTTTGTTGAGAAATACACATTTGGACTACATTTGTTCTAATGATGCAGAGAGAACATTAGCTGAGAAGTTATTCATGTATTCAGACTTTTGTGATGATTAGAGAAGAAATAAGAACAGTCCTATTTACCTATGAGCTCTCTGAACTTTTGCTGCATTGCACATTTTAACAGCAAGTCATCTTATGCAAGCAACTCCTGAGCTTATTTGTATTTCTGGCAGCCCATCATTCTCTATTTATGAAGTTGTTCTCTATTAAATTAGCTTTAATACATCCACTAATACTACCATAAATGCATCTGCATGTGTTTGGAGATAGTTTGTGCTGCTGTCTCTTGTCAGAGCACAGGTAATGTTGCAGCATCTCAGTCAGTCTTTAAACTTTCAACAGTTCCTCTGGGAGAGAAGAAAAGGGACCAGAAGGAGAAACAGGAGGCCTCTCAGCTGGTTGAGTGTTTCTGTCCTTCACTCTTACATTGTGTCTTTCAGACTCTTTTATTTCCTCCATTCTTTTCCTAAAACACAAAGAAAACTTTATCTTTTCTTCTCGTGACACACTACTACACCCCACTCCATCTTCTTTTACTTCTCCTCTAATGGAAATAAGAAATCACTCAGCCATGTGTCCTCTCCATAATCGCTTCCCTAGACTAGTTTGATCATTCAATGAGACTATTGACAAGTCTCTGCTGGAGGAGAAGTGAAGAGTCGATCTGAAAAACGTGTAAAAACTCTCAATCCGAAGCCTTAGTCATGCAGTGTGCTATCCTCCGTGTCTCTTGGCGCTCCTCTTTCTCCGGACACGTGTGATTGATGCTTTGGGAGGTAATTATCGAACAGCAAATCCCACTCCAATTTATAGCATTAAGGATTTAAAACAGCCACTTCAGTTACTCCTCAGGCCAGAATACAAGTGAGTTAAGAAAACGAGAGCAAATCTGATGAGGCTGTCTGAAAATACTTCATCATCCAGCGAGAATATTAAAGACATGAATCTGAGCGGCACTCGATGAGGGTGAAACGCTCTGATGTATATGCTTTAAACCAACGAAAATTAATGCAGGGAAAGTAGCTTTCCTGAAAAGTTTTATTCAGCTGGATTTGCAGATGGAACGAGACTCTTGGATGTTTGACATTCAGACAGAAACAAGATGTAAACTCGGGCAGGTTATCAATGTGTGCTGAGTCCTGCTGCCTCCCAGAGAAAGATAAAAATTGCACACTCTCTGCTCACTCCCATCCAAACCCTGCTGCTCTCCTGCCAGAGATTATCGGGGTCAGTGCGGGGTTAGGACAGCAGTACAAATTTAAATTCTTCTCATGGACCACTCTGTATGTCCACTGCTCTGTGCAAAGACACATGCACCCACCAGAGACGGATTATGGTGAAGAGCAAAGACACGAAAGAGGTGAACACTGAAAGACTTAGAGGATGGTGAGTATCAGAGCAGACACAGATTCTTCACTTCCTACAGCTGTGGTCATCTTAGTGCTCATTCGGTGAAAAGACATTTTTCACATCCCTGTAGTTTTAATTAGGGCTGTCCAATGATTACTTTTTAAGATCACGATTAATCGCATGGTAGCCCATAGTTAACTCACAATTAATCGCACATTATTGGAGATGTGACAGAGGGGTATTTGTAGAGATTTTAATGCTCTGATTAAAAACAGGAGTTAGGGCTGGGCGATATGGCCTCAAATCAATATCACAGTATATTGAGCAGTTCACCTCGATAATGATAAATGGACAATAACTACTCCGCAAGCTGCTCACCCCCTCCCACATTAACTTTGTTGACTTCGGCCGCCACTACAGCCACTCCAACTTTTGAACCGTCCTCCACCTCCTCACCTGTCTTTCCCTCTTTGTTACAGACTGGATGGGGTGGAGTCATATCTCTGATGTAGGACAGTGTCTTAAAGGGACATGAGACCATAGCCTTCCTACACACATCCAAAACTAACTGTTATTTATTTATTTGACACTGAATATACTGATTTGGGCAAAATGACTTCAGTTATTGTCGAAAATTTCGGTATCTGTAAATTTTTGGTTTATTGCCCAGCCCTAATGGAAGTAGACAAATACACATGCTTTTTGCAATCGCACTGACATTATCTTTTTTATTATTATTATTGTTAGTAGTAAAATTAGCAGTATGTTACTGTCAAGGAAAAGTCTCCAGAATAACCTCAAAAGTGCTGTATGCACCAAAAATACGCAGAGGGCAAAATATGACCAAGTCAAGCCGACACAGTAACAACAGAGGCTCATACTGACCTGACTGTATCATGGCACAGTAATACCAGTCCAACTGTACACTAGTACCAGTTAAATAAACACCTCTGTTGTTTATTGCAGCTCAACACAAAAAACAGACCTCGTGTATCACAACTAAAGTAAAAATTCCACTTTGTTGCTAATTTTATTATCACTGTTCTGCTGAGGCTTTACTGGCTTCTGATTAGACCTTGTCAGGTCAGCTGATACCGGGAACAGCCTCTGACCAAAACAAAGATGGCACCCTTTGTTTTACATTGTTGGCTCTTAACAGAAATAAGCACCAATTCACTTGAACTAATGCGTAAAATCATCATAGATACTTTGGTTATGGAAAGATTGGATCTGGACAGTCCCCAAATACTCAGATCTAGTGGTATTAGTTGGTACTGCAGTTACACCATTTACAGCGGGGCCATGTTACAGACAAATATGATGTATAATAAAGATTACAGAATGTGTCAGCATTAGTCATGTGTTTAAAAACAGTCAATACAATAATACAGTTAATACGTTAACATGCCACTGATGCGTTAACTTTGACGGCCTCAGTTTAATGTTTTAATTTGAAAGTTAAACTTAGATTCACTCATGCAACTAAATTTCTGAGCATAGTCATTGTTTCTTTAGCCGAGTGCATATTCCCAGTCGACATAGTTATAAAAATTGAAAAAGTTTAAGACTGTGCTTTTAATGCAGATTATGGATTTATGCGTCTATAACTACCACATAGTTCCATGTTGCAGAGGCACAGTCGATTTCCGAGGGTCTCTCAAGAATAGGTTTAGATTTTAATTGGTGACATACTGTGTTCACATACTGTATGTTCATAATTAAAAAAAACTCATTAACTTCAAATACCAGCAGCTCTGAAACTCTAAGGACACTTAAATGATCGGGTAGGTTTTAAAATCTGAGAGCATTTTGACTTTTAATTTTGAATCCATGTTTAAAGCATCTATTTGCATTTCTGAAACCCTTTAGGGGAGACTGTGCTTCCCGTCAAAACGCTGCAAGTGTACACATCCTGAGGGAATAATAGTGGCTCCAGATTTGAAGAGTGTGTTTTAGCATAAAGAGAAGAGCACTCTTACAGAGGAGAGCTCCAGAGTCTGTACAGAGGACAGAGGAGCGATAGAGCAGTTATTATCAGTGGAGCTGAAACTGAGCTGTGAGATAAAGGCCCCTCCCAAAGCATTTAGTTCATAGTGATGTGCTGTTTGATAGAGGGGATCAGCTGAGGACATGCAGGGCTCATTACATGCAGACCAGCAGAGAGGGTAGAAGAAAAACGTGTTTATCTCTTCTTTTTACCCCACAGAAACTCACGTCATTCATTCTCATTTTTTGGTTCACTCCCTCCAGCATATTTTTAACTCCACCTCTCATCCCATCTCTTCCTCTCACATATCCTTTATTTGTCCTCTTCATCCATCTTCCTCCTACTTTATCTTTCTTTTCACACTCCTGACCCAAACCGAGGCAGGCGGAGGAGCAGGGTGAATGATGATTGGACGAGGGAATTTTGGCCCTCTCCAGCACAAAGCAGACAGGGACAGAGACAAACAGCAGGGCCATGTGAATTAAAGATGACAGCGGTTCTGCTGCTCGAGCCCAGGCTGAGCCCAACACTGCGGCTGGAGTTCGGTCGCCAAACACACGAGAAGAGCGAGAAACCCAGGAGTATGCTGGGAGACAAACATGAGAGCGGCAGATGGATTTGTTTACTTTTGAGGGCAGCTGCCCCTTTATTCCAAGAAGGAGCATCGACATGCAAAGAGATGCTTGGATGATCTCACACACACACACACACACACACACACACACACACTCGAATGTCCCTTTGATTCACTGCATATCCTCTCAAAACATCAATGGTGGTGTCATATAACAGTTATCTTACGTGTATAGGATGTCTGTTTTGAATGTGGGGTTTGAGACTCTAGCTGTCTTTTAAAACTGTTATTGGTACCTAAATCAATTCATTTCACTTATTATACTTCTTATATCAAATCAAAAAAGCACTTAAGATAGACATGACTTGACTTTAAGAGAATTTAGAGTATTACTGTCAGAATTCAAAGTTTTAAATTTTCCTGATGCAGAGTTACTTATGCTTTACTTTTAGTTCCTGAGTGGATTAAATATCCCCAAAATCCCTTTAATTAGGGCTGCTGGCATTAATGCGTTAATCCCAATGCTAATGAGGTCAAAAATGGATTAATTTATTTGAAGTGGCACGGCTCTTTTGCCACTCCGGCAAGCTGTACAGGAGCCTACTCTCTTGCTGCCGCTGTTATGGAAAAAACACCAACCCTGTGTTTTCAGGTCGCAAATTTAACAAGTAAAACAAAAATTGCATTTAATTTCAATAAAATGACCCTGCACTTGTACAAGCTAAGCATACAGGTGTAGCTAATCGGATTGAAGTCAGCAGGCAACTGCACCATCATCTGTCTGCAGAGCACTGGAGTCCCTACAGACCTGTCAATGAAGCTAAATCAATTAAGCTGACTGCAGGGCTCCATAACTGGGTACAGACTGTCAACACTGAGAGAGACATGAGTCTCATTGACGCCATGAGCTTCCTGGTGTTGCATGTCATGTCATAGGTGACCATAATTTTATGCATACAGGACAAAAATTAAACAGAGAAACCCTTGAAAGGTTTAAGTATTGTTGCATTTACCAGGAATCACTGGATATCAGTGAGTCATTAAAACCTCAGAATAACTGTAAACCAAATTGAAACTGATTAGATACTCTGCACGTGCATCCCCACACATTTCCTTTTGTGCAAACAAACAAACATGTTTTTCACAGAATAAACACTGAAGTCGTCTCCTACCGTGAGAGTCTGGTTTTGGATCACAGGTTCGCAATTATTTGAACAACAAATTTGAAAGTCATGGCCATAAATACAGTTGTGTTCATTTGATTCAATCCACTGGTTATTGGTAATTGCTAGTTACTGGTAATTACTTAACATAGTCAATATGGATTTAGAAAAGTTTGGACATGCAAAATATTTAAATTTGTTGTTAAAGCCTCTATAAGGAGTTTTTATGTGAATGAAATAGACTGAAATTTATAAAACTACCTTTTTATAACATCTGAAAGCAAACAAGATCATCAGCAATGACATTAAAGATTTCTTTATCCTAATTTCTTATGCCTGAAGCAGCCTTGTTTCTAAAGTTTCTACATAAAATATTCACAATAATTGAAACATTTCACTTTCAAAAGTTGGTGCATGGGAGGAGATTATTTGTTAAAGTTACTAGACTACTATGTCCATAGGGGGCGCCAAACTTGACTCAAACTGAATTTTTCTTACAGGAGTTTAAAAATTCAATTTACTGCAGTTAACTATTACCTTTCATCAAGAAATCCTGATTTTCAACTCTACTAAAGTCGTTTTTTGGTATTATATAGGTCTATGTACTTTAACCTCAGATTGACTTTCAGCTGTTTCATTCTTCACTGGACATGATCATGTTTGACACAACTGTACAAACAGACACACAAAAATACACAAGATATCCTTTCAATAACTCAGTGTCCTCACAGAGCTCTAAAAAGTGATACAAACACACGCTCACACACTCAGCAATCTCACACGGCATAAATTTGTCCTACAAAACCTGCAAACCAAGACACACAGCAGTATAAAGTTTCACAAAACTTTGTTTTTCCTGAAACACTCTGCTGCCAGGAGTCGATATGATGTGATAATGGTTACTAAGTGTGTTTGAGAGTGCAGTGTGTGTGTGTGTGTGTGTGTATGTGTGTGTGTGTGTGTGTGTGTGTGTGTGTGTGTGTGTGTGTTTGAAGGCTGGATGTGGAGGGTGTTTGGGATAGTTTGCAGACCTCTGAGGACTGTACCGACTCCTGGGGACGGTTTGATTTCTCTCATGAACCTCCAAAGTCTCTGCAGCTGTGCGGGGAGATTTGCAAGAAGAAAAGCCAAGTTTCCTTTTCCAGTTTCCCCCCATAAGAACTGAAAACTGTGAGGCTATACATCAGAAGATACAATCTTTTTGCCTCCAGGACACTTTGCTCCCTACCTCTGCTGTTTCTTGAATGCTGTTCTGTGATTCTTTTGTTGCTAACCCTGCCACTGCTGTCAGGGGATAAACAATATCACCTCAGCAGCATCTTTTTGCTCTTTGTCCTATAAGCTATTGCTTCTAGATCTGTCCTGTCCTATGTTGTAAAAGGTCTCCAAAGCCATCACAGAGTCCTGCAGGTTTACAGCACTCAATGAATCAGACCTAGCAACTCTTTCCAATCCTGTCCATCTGTGCTCCTATGACTATCTACTGACTGCTGGACTCCTGGCAGGGCTCTTCAAATCCTCTCTTCAGCTTTTACAACTCATCAAGCATTCTGCTACTGTCGCTCTCCTCCCCCTCCTGAATTCTTCACTATCACACCCTCCTGCACACCATCGTTTTGCCACTTGTGACTGCTCATTTCATAATCAATGCAGGGGTGCTGCTGCTGAAGGCTTCTCAACAGCTGTTGAACAGCTGCAGAGAGTTTGCTGCAGCAACCAGTCACTGCGCACACAGAGATCACATACATGCATCTCATTTCTTATTTAGGGGCAACCGATCATAACCAAAGAGAGGACACGCCGCAGTTCAATTTAAGTTAAGAGGGAGGTAATACTGGAGAGCTAAAGGGTGCAAAATTCAGTGAGAGCCGTATCGGTTACAGTGCATGGGCTCATTATTTTTGCATGTGCATGTGACTGCCAGTGCACACACGTGTGTATGTTTGAAATGCTAGAGTTGTCATTTTTGTGTCTTTTGTGTGAAATACAGTAAGCCCATTTCATTATTCCCCCTGTGTTTACTGACAGATAGTGGACAGGCCTCAGCGAGCAGCTCTGGCTTCATTATCCCACGCTGCTATGGGAAGATACAGATCACAGGACATGAAAGGCTAAGACACACACACACAGCAGCAGCCCACAGGGAAATTTAAGAGAGTGTGACGACAAGGGCTTTTATATATGACTCGACTGAAGGCTGACTTTTTGCAGCTTCACAATTCCTTTCTGGATCAGATATGAATAAAGCAAGACTCTCACACATTTGTACCTTTTCTCACGTACAGATTCAGACATACTGTAAACACCATGAGTGATTAAATTCTGCACTATCTCACAGCTAAATAAACATCCACTTCGACACATTAGGCTGTGGGAAAGTTAGTCGCTGTATGATTGAGGGGGAGGGCTATAGGAGACAGCAGTCATCTCTCACCCAGATTATACTATCTTTGACTGACAGGGTCTTTGAAGTATGGTGGCCTTGAAGGTCAACTCCACACATATTTCATGACTGTGAAAAATATTTCAATGAATGCCAGAGACGTTTCACTACCTCTGAAAATATAAATAAAATTCAAACTGAATGGAAATTTTTCCTTTCCTCAAAAGAAAGTTAATTATGAAATGCAGGAAACTTTTTCACAAAATACATATAAAAAGAGCCAATATGCAATGAAAAGAGACTCAAGAAAGAAGGGAATGTACTTAACTTATTAAACATCTATGCTTTACGTTAATGTGGTATTTTAAGTGAAAGTACTTTGCTGAATAGAAAATCCCTTCCTGCAGAGTGTGAATCATACTTTTAGTCAGTTAACTGTTCTATCTTGGTTGTTTTGTACTCAAATTTCCCAGGAAGAGGCTGTTAAAGCCTAATATGTAACAACAACCTGGAATGTTGTTAAAAAAAAAAAAATACAATAAAGCCCGAAATGTAGTAATTGGTCAACAATCTAACAAGATGCTGCATTTTGGCCAAAAACTTATTACATTTTGGACTTAGCATTTTGTTACATTATTGACTAATTATAAAATTTTGGGTTTTGTTATATTTTTTAAAGACATATCAAGCTCCAACAGCCCCAATATGTAATTCTGGGTTCACATAAGATTTGCTGAGTGTTTAGGATTTTACTTTCTTAAAATCGCTTCATTATTTCATAAAATAGGTTGTTTTCCAAACCACTTGTTCGGTACTCCTGTTGATTCACATTAAGATTCAGATCACTTTATTTATCCCAAAGGGGCAATTCAGTTTGCAATGCACGGGTCACAGCAAAGGACAAGACATTTCACACATTCACTCAACAATACAATACACACATCTGTCAATGGGCAAGACAGCTGAAGGGTCCAGCCATCAGGTGCAGTAGTGGCAAGTGGAATAGTCATATTGAATATGTAAATGTGTATGTAAATAATGGATTTAAAAGCCTAAAAAGTAGAAAAACAAACGTGTACACTATGCACTATCACTGGTGCAGACTATATACTACATGTACTGCATACTGTATTCTGGAAAAATCAGAACGTACTACTATAAAGTATGGGCGGTTTTGAAGCAGCCATTGTTTCATGTTTTGTGAAATATCCTCCTCTTGTGAAATTTTCTAGGTTTGATTAATCACTATCAAACTAAGATGTGTTTTTTTTTTTTTGCTTTCTGCTGCCATGAAATATTTGTGCAGTTGATCTTCAGGGCCTCCATACCTTTAGGCATAACTTCAAACCTTAAACTGATCAGCTCTGTTCAGGTGTAGGTATTTTTGATAAGTTGAAACAGTATTCGTTTGGCCCCATGCTGCAGACATTCAGAGCATGCACTCTCTCTGGTTCACTCACCCTGTCCTCCTCCTCTCTGAGGTCTGGCATGGTGCTGATACACAAGCTGACAACAGTCACTGCAACCATGATCACCGACATGCAGGCAAAGATCTTCCCCGGTAAGCCAGACTGTGGATTCTCCACCGTGTCTCTCAGCCAGTTCATCACCTTCCTGTACCTCGTCTCCTCCACAGGTACACGCTGCATGGCGTTTCTCTGCCTGCGCTCTTCTTCACGTCGTTCCAGCTCATGCACCTCCTCAATGCGTGTGTACATCTTCCTTTTGCAGCAGCGCTCCATGTACGCCATTTCCACACCCCAGTAGGTCAGCTCATCATGCAGGGAAAGGACACACATCTCCCGCAGCAGGCGCAGTTTACCTGCTGCCAGGAAGTTAAGAATGACCCTGAAGGCAGATGGCGAGCGGTCGAAGAAAAACTCCTTACGGGCTTCGTCATAGTCGTCACAGACTCTGGCGATGTCCTCGGGTGACCTGCAGCCACAGAGACGGCCAAGTCGTGTGAGAGGGAACTGCTCCAAGGTACTCCAGGGGAAGGTGTAGCGGTTTCCCCCAACATTGATCAACGCTAGCAGGGCGTGGTCGATGGACAGCAGGTCCTCTGGCCGACGGATGAACTGAGCCCTCTTGTAGTACACACCCTGGAGAATATACAATAGAAAGGTCAATGGAAGAGTTGTATTATATTTGGACAATGTGTAAATGCAAGACATGTCCTTGACTTCGTGACATACATAACACAACACTAATTCCAAAATGTTGATGAAAGCAGAAGTTGGTGGTTTGCAAATGCAATTATGAATTGAAAAGAGTGTTAAGACAAGATGTGAAATATTGAAACTAAATAACCTTTTAGTAACTTTAACACAACTTTGTTCATGTTTAAGAACTGAGGAGGTCAGTTTCTTGAGTTTTTAAAGTTACATATGTCTCATTCTTGTCTTATCTGCTCAACAGTTTCAGGGTCTCTTTAAATTTTTTGGTTAATCGATCACCAAATGTTTTTAATGGGTGACAAGTCATGATTGCAGGCAGACCAGTTTCTCAGCAGGACTCTTCTACTACAGAGCCATGCCGTTGTAATCCCTGTTGTCAGAATGTGGTTTGTCATTGTCTTGTTGAAATATGAAGATCTTCCCTGAAAAAGTCTTTGTCTGGATGGCAGCAGATGTTGCTCCTAAACCTGTAGATATTCTTCAGCATTAATGGAGCCTTCACCGATCAGTTAAGTGATGGTTTTCATTTTTTTTTTCAGTCCATTTTAGTTTCCTGTGCGTCTGAATCATGTTTAAATATGGTTCCCTCTTTGCATGGCACAGTTATAACAAACTGTTCACAGCCAATGGTTTTCAATGATTTCCACTAGAGTTGTGTCTGTTGTTAATGCAGAATCACATATGAGGTTAAATATTAGGGTATTGGTCTTTGACCTCTTCCCTTTTTACAGAAATTCCTCCACATTTGTTTAAATTTTAAATATTATTTATCTTAAATGAAGTCTTTAAAGTCTTTGAAATGTAATTTTAACTTTATTTTGACGGTTTGCTTCATAGTCTCTCAGCCTCTTTTTATATCTAGTCATGGTTCTAGCCTGTTGCAAACTTACCCAATTAGTTGAGAGGTGTTCCTCCAGATGTTTTCTTTTTTCTTTCTTTCTTTCTTTTTTTTTTTTATTATAGCATCACATCCCTTTTTCATTTTTATTGTCCCGGTCTCAACTTTTGGTACAACATGTTACTGGCAGTATTTTTCATAAAACAACACTTTTTAGAGTCAACATCTGGTACATAATCTGTGGATTCTTTATTTTTGTTTTTAGGAAATTTGGGGTTTGCATGATTTACAAACCATCAAAATCTGTTAATAAATAACATTGTATAATATGTCTCCCAATTTTTTCTTATCTGGGTTGTAGATAAGAATACTTTGAAGAAAGGGTTTCATACCTTGACGGTCTCAGTCTCAGGGATCTCTGTGAAGATGCGGTCCAGACTGCTGTCATCGCTGACAGACAGATTGCTGAAGTCATGGTTGGCGTTGCTGATGATGGGCATGGCAGCATCTAGAAATCACGCTGCTCCAGACTTGGGGAGCTCAGATCAGGTACAAGTTACAGAAAGTGCATCAACTGAACTGGGTTCAGCCTTTTTGGTCCCTGGACAGTCCTCCAGTATTTCTCTGACAAGCAACCTACATTAAAACCTCCACTTGGGAAAAGTTGTCCATGTCTATTTTGGACGATCTGAGCATGAGTATGGCTGTAGTTTTCTGTGTTTTGGTCTCAGAAATCCTCATAGATAGGAGTTTTCTTCTCAGCAACAGAGGAGCTATGGCTTCAGGTTCCTACTAACCCCGCAACAAACCCAGAAAGAAGAATGAAAGTGACAGTAAACCTGTTGAGTGAGTTTTGACATTGCTGTCAGACATCCACAATAGGCTCATGAGGCGTATCGGGTTTCACTATCAGATCAGTGTGTAATCCCAGTCTGAGGAGGGAGTCTGGAGCAGGAAAGCCTGAATAAAGGGACTGATCAGTGACTGATGGCTGCAGAGGAAGAGCTGGATGAGTCAGGGGGGCCAAATGTGTTGCAGTGAGATGTCCAGGGACTGAAGAAGATCCTCTAAATCTCTGCAGTAGGATTAGGACGGACCTAGACACATAGAGGCATCATGCAGGCACTGTAAGGGAAGGAGAGAGAGAGAAAAAGGGGTGAGGAAAATGTGAAACCAAAACTAGGATAGAAGGAGATTTAGTCAGGGATGTGACAATAGAGCAAAAATTGGAAAGCGAAGAGAATAAGAAGAGATGATGTGAATACAGAGAGGGTCAAAAGGCAATCAGAGAGCAAAGCTCAGAGACACTGCAGAGCTGTAGGCTCTACATCCCCTTTAACTTCCTATCAGTCAGTAACAGAGTAGACCGACACAGAGGCTCTCCTGCTATAATGAGGCGGTCATTGTGTCGGTGCAGGATTTGAACTGGTAGCAAAGGGTTTCACACTCTAGCTAACATCCAAGAAGAACGGAGCGGCTGCTCTGCTTGGTATGATTGTTGGAAATTCAAGAATAAGCTGCAGAAAGAACAGTCAGGTCTGTGCTGCTATTCGCACTATGAGTGAGTTATTGGCTGCTGTGGATGGGCAGCAGTCCTAGCAACAGACACTGTAGCACGGGGGTCCAAAATGTTTTTCTTGGCTACACTGTCTTCCTCAAACTTCCTGGCACAGTGAGACGCTGCTGCTGCCCAGACTGGTTCACTCTGGATCTGAGCCTTCAACAGCAGCAGTACATTTTTACAGGGATATGTTATTGAGTTATTAAATTAAATGTCCTCTCCTGCTCAATCTAATCTACTGTGTGTCCTTTCAGTGTTCATCAACAGTATCATGGTTTTTGGGTGGGCAGGGCTTAGCTGGAGGCTGAGTTGTTTCCACCATGTTGAAAACATCTAGTCTCTGAATATGAAAGGTCACCTCGATGGTGTGTAATGTCAATTAAAAAAATCTTGATTATTGTGGGGATTTGTTTAAAATAATTGATATTTTGCATCCTTAAAACAGGGACAAAAACAACAACAATGTACTGTATTGATTTGTATAAGACTACTTGAAAGTATTTTCACAAGTATAGGACAAGAGGTATAGCTTTGTCCACAGTGGGTGCACACACAAATCACACATCTTATTCTGTGCAGTGAAACATATGAACTATGGAACTATGTCTGTGTGTCTGACAAAGTCTGTGGATTGCCATCTTGGACGTAAGTTCTGTTTTTTTGAACCACCTTTATGGGAGTGAGGGGGATGTATGTCAAGCTAGGACTGGGCTTGATCAATGATCGTGATCAATGATCATGATAAATTTCAGTTCGATCACAGTGATCAGCTGTGAGCATATTTACTCAGTCAAACATAGGGGAAATGAGTCAAGCTTTTCCTGCCCACTTTTGTTAGTTGCCCAAGAAGTAAACAGGAGAAGTAAACAGAATGACCTTGTGTGGAGCTAAACGCGGAGCCGAGGGCAGCAAAATAGATGTCAGCCGTGACTGAGTCATCCTTAACAGTTTAGCTACAACTAGCGGTGCAGCCACCAGACCAAAACAGCAATCAGTTGTATCCTCTATGTTTACATTTTGAGGCATCTTCATTATCCCTCAGGGGGCAAAAACACTCAGGACTGTAAACTAGTTCACTCTATTATTTAGTGTTTATCTACTTTTGTTATATTGCTGAGTTAAAATGTTTTTTATATTTTTCTAAGTTTATCTTATTCAATTTGCTTTGTTATTTACTTTGTATGTTAATAAAATGTTGAACTAATCTCTAGTTTCTTTAGTTTTTAGTACAGATACTTTAAAACTGGCAGTTTAAAAAAAAATTGTGATAATAATCGAGATCGGACGATATGACAAAATATATTTTTTTCGCCTAATTGCCCAGGCCTATGTCAAGCAATTTGATCTAACGACACTGAGTTTGAGGCTGGGGGTGGTTGTGTTTAGACATTCACAGCGGACCGATAGAAAAACCAAGTGATGATACTTTGTGTGTATTAGTCCCAAGGTGCTTTTAAATTTGTGCCTGATTGATAAGATGGACCAGAAATAGTTTCAATCCATCCATTCTACAACAAATTTTTGCTACGCGAAGGGTGCACTGCACAGATGAGCATTTTTGATGATTACCACCATTAAGTCCCTTTGTCTTGACATGCAGAGGCAGCTTATTCTAGCAGCGAGACCTATTATTCTAAATACTCACTGGTGGGTCTGAAGCCACTGTCATTGCAGACGATTTCCCATCCAACACTTTCAGCCCCCTGACTCCTGTACTGCTTACGACAATGTGGTGCCAATTTGTGTTTCCTTCTCCAGCTAACATAATGGCCCTAAAAGGACCTATTTTACTGCAGCATTGCCGAAACTCCAGATGGATGTCAACCAGACTTATGGATAAACTCAGAAACTTTTCCTCTGTCAGCATCCCGACTTTTTCTTGGCTTCCATTGCAACAAAAGCAAAGGTGTTTGGAACAACTAAATAAAGGCTGAATTAAGTTTGCCACACTATAAGTAACACCTGCGCTTCTGCCGATCTGACATACCAAACTGTGTGCTGTGAAAAGGGTACTCATTTTACCAGGGACAGATAGGAGCACAATCACCCGGCTCCACAACCTTTAGAGATAAATGCCACTCTGTAGACGGTGAAGGTGGGAACACATACTGATATTGAATGGTTTGGTGGCAAATGATGAAAGACTATGGCTCAGACTGAAACAGCAGGAATCTTCCTCTGAGACTCATTGTTCTGCTGCTCCTCTTATGCAGCGACCAACAATAAAGCTGTCTTACATTTGGGTGGCTGCCCCACAGTTTTCTCCTGCCAGCTTTTGTTGTAAATAGAAAGCTGTGATAGATGTCTACACCTGGCACTGTTCCTCAGGTAAACCAGACTCTCCAAGGGCAAACCAAGACTTAGTAAGCACGTCCTTTAACACGCACAGGTTTCTCTGCACACTAATGGTACATTAGTCTCTGTGATTAGCACTGACTCACAAACCTGATGTCAGAGGAACAGTTGCACTTCGTATTTTGCTGACCACGGTCTTTGTAAAACCATACTTTCATTACAGTCTCTTCAGACACCACAGGCTTATTGTATGTGTGACAGGACAGCTCAGACAGTTTGAATCATTGGGCTGAACCAACATGCGTCACTAATTCAAATCCAGGAGGGTCCCATCCTGTACTGGAGGAACTAATAAATCACTTCTGTCACCATGCTGGGGTTTCATTTCCACCTCACAGAGGGAGGAGCGTGTGATAAACTATTTATTAATCGATTTGAGTTCCCTGTGGATGTGGTTGTTTTTTTCCTTGGAGGAAAGTTAATGGAAGGAGCTGATTTTATCACAACACTGGTGTTCCCCGCTTTGCTCAACCCCCCTCTGATTCTCCACTGGACACTGGAGACAGACAGGGAGGAGAGGATGTCTCAGGAAGCCCAGAGAGTTCTTCTTCTTTTTTTTTTAGCCGAGAGTTTGATGACACGCTGTGTTAACAAGAAAAGACCATGAGTGGCCCCCTCTCACAGTTTTCACAACATTGTATGACTTATTTGATTCAGGGCTAAAAGTGTGCATGTTTTGACATGTCTGATGACATTTTAAGAAAGCCCATGAAATCAACTTCTGGGTGGATGTTAATTCAACACATTTAGTCATTTTTTCTTTGTAGTTTTTTTTTTTTTAAGTAAGGCAACTAACATTTATGCTCTGAACTGTTATTTGCAACATTCATGGCATCATGGCATAGCATGGCCATACACAGGACAACTTGCAGTTCAGATAAAATGCAAATACGGGGAATTGATTTGGGATAGTGGCAAAGATTCATGTTGCCTGTCCGAACCAGCTTGGAGCTCTTGCTCTGTTGATGCTGATATATTGGCTAAGCTGCAATATGTTAAAGCTACATTCTGGCATCCTTTCTTTTTCTCATGCAGAAGTAGCATCAACTTTATTTTCAGCTATGACATCTTTTCTTTCTCAATATGAGCTTCAACCTGTCATGTCAGTCCTCACATAAACACAAACACTTTCCTGCTTATGACTTGAGAACTCCCTTCAAAAGCAGCAAAACTAACTGAGTTGCTGTATAACATCTGGTAGGCTACTGTCATGTAGAAAAGGAAGTTTATATTTTCCAAAATAGCTCCAGGAGAATTACAGCTCTCTTCACAAAGCACTAGCTGACGAATATGCTGCCATTGGTATGCAATGTAAATGTCCATTTTCAGTCACCCGTGTCATTAAGACTAGCAAGCAGGAACAGTGGGCACAGGCTGGAGGTAATACAGTTGGGACTAAGTTCTCATCTGCTGAGGCACTCTCCATGGTGTTGAAAGGTGCACAGTAGAAAAATCCAATCATACCATGAGCTCATACATGCAGTAAAATAAAAGTCCTGGGTTTGGAGGTTGGAAAAATTGTTCCCTGTGTGTGTGAAGGTTATGTGTGTGTGAATTATTTTTCAGAATAAATTCACCGCAAAT